GGGCTCCGGGCTCCGGCGGGGGAGCGGCGGCGTGCCTCGGGCTGCGTTCTTAGGCCGGCCCGGCCTCCTTGGCTGCGGGGGACGAGGATGGGCAACTTCAGAGAAATGGAACCGGGGCGGGGGGCAGGGGAGACGGGGTTCCCGCCGTCCGGGCGGACTGCGGGGGACCCCCAGCTCGGACTGCGCGCCATCCATGGAGGGGCAAAGCTTGGGATGACCAGGAAGAGCCGCCACCCGGCTCCGTGACTCAGAGTTCAGTGCCAGGTGGAGCTCAGAGTTCAGTGCCAGGTGGAGCCGAGTCACCCGGGGCCGGGGGGAGGATCCCCGGGAGGAGGGGGTTCCCGGGGGGAGGGGGTCCCGGAGCGCAGGGGGATCCCCCCTCCCCCCAGCCCCTCCTGCGCTGGGAGATGAAGTGTCCCACCAACCGTCGGTGGAACCCAAATCCAGACATCCAGTCCCCAGCCCTGCCTCCTCCCCGGCCCTGGGCTGCCCTTCCCCGCCGGCCTCTGAGGACCCCTGGCCCCCGGGAGCTGGCTTGGGGTGCGGCGAACAGGACGGTGAACACCCAGGGCATTTGTACTCAGGTCTCTTGCCCGGCAGCCAGGGAGGGGCAGGACGGTGGCCCCCTCTTCCTCCTCCTCCCCCCCAGCCTCTCCCCCCAGCACCCAGGCTTCCCTGGTCAGTAGGCCCAGCGCAGAGGCCCTGTCCAGCTCCCCTGGCCCCATCCACAGGAAGATGTTCTCTGTCTGAGCCACTTCGTTGCCTGAGCAGTTGGGCTGGGTGGCAGGGTGTGTGTGGAAGGAGCTGGCCTGGCGGATCGCCAGCATCTTCCCACCAGCTGCGCTTTCTACTTGTGGATCCTGGGACTGGAACTCAGGGCCTTGGCACTGTCTCTTAGCTTTTGTGTTTAAGGCTGGCGCTCTACCATTTGAGACACAGCCCCACTTCTGGCTTTTTAGTGATGAATTAGGAGTTTAGAGACTCAGGGACTTGTCCTACTCAGGCTGGCTTTGATCGTCGATCCTCAGATCTCAGCCTCCTGAGTAGCTAGGATGACAGGCGTGAGCCACCAGTGCCTCGCTTTACCCCACCTGGTTTAGAGTCACACCAGGGCTTTGATACTGGTCACACTGGCTGTGTATCCTTGGGGCTTTCTGGTCCCCAGTTTCCTTTCCTTGTGTCATCTGGGCTTAGAGAGTCGAGGATTAAATCTGGTAAGTGAGCGCGGTAGCAGCGTGGTGCGTTGACATTGATTGTCTTGGTGACTGTTGGAACCCAGGAACCGTAGTGTGCCAGATGAACATTCATTCTTTGAGTTCCCCTTGTTAGGATGTAAAAAAAATAAAACAAAAGCACCCCTCCCCCTGCGGCCCAGCGGGCTGCCTGGGGTTCAGGACTGCCCGGAGCTCCTGCTGTCGCAGGTGCAGCCATGGTTTGTGTTCTGACCAGCAGAAAAGCAATGCTGGGTTTGAGCCCCTTAGTGAGTTCAGGGGGAACCCAGCTGGCCTCTTGGTCAACAGGCTGGCCCAAGGAACAAGAGGCAGGGAAAACAGCTAGCTGACCCTGTGGCCAGGGAAGCCCTGCGGTGGAATATGGTAGAGATGGGGGTCACACACGGGGCGGCTGGGATGAATGCACCATGGGTCACGGGCGGGGGGGGCAGGGGAGTTAGGGTGAGGACAATGGCAGAGCTAGAGATGAACCTAGTAAACGTTGTAGAAGGTTCTAGAAACTGACAGGCTAGCCTGTGGAGGAAGGAGCATCTTCGCAATCAGCAGTGATCAGTGCTGTGGGACAGGGGTTGCTCCAAGATGCTAGATCGCTCCTCCTTGGGTGCTCACACCTTGGCCACGGGGGGCTGTGAGCAAAAGGCTGGTGCGGCTTGTCACCATCCTGCGGAAACGGTGCTGGATGCCACCAGAGCTGGGCGGTGCTCCACGCTCAGTGCTCCCAGGCGAAGGAGCTCGGGGGGCCCAGGCACCCGTGGCTGTGGCCTCCCAGCCCCCCACATCCTCAGACACAGGAAGTTGTGGTGGGGCCCAGAGGTTCCTGGGTAGAAGGCTGGGGGCTGGGACAATGAGACTCGAGGTCATGGGGGACCACAGGAAAAGGGGACCCGGGTTGCTAAGACAAGGGATGTTGTGGGGGGGGGGCATGCCCGCAGCTCCAGGCCTGGGTGGGGACAGGGAGGGGACCCCAGCACAGCTAGTAAAAATGGTTCCTCCTGTTGGCTTCCTCCTCTCATGCCCCCGCCGGCCTTGGGAGCCCTGGCGGGCTGAGTCCCGCCCCCGTGCCCGCCCCATGGGCTCTGCCGTCCCCCTGTGACCATGGTCAGGTGACCTGGCCCACAGGGGTGCGTGCATGCGTGGGGAGGGCTGCAGCGTCACCTGTACCCTTGGGTTTGGGAGACTGAAGCTGATGGAGCCGGAGTCCTGGGTTCGAGCTCCACCCGGGCTTTGCGCTTCCCTAGCAATCTTTCATTTCAGTAGCATCCATGGCGCCCCATCGCAGAGGGGGCAGGGTCGCCCCCGGACACCCCAAGGCCCAGCAGCGGCCCGAGCAGGGGCAGAGAGCGCGTCCAGCGCCCCCAGGAGCAGGGCCCGCGACACCACACGAGTTCAGGCCCACGCCAGGTGTCAGGAGAGGGGACCTGGGTGGTGTCAAGCCAGGAAAGCAACCTGGAGGAGGAAGGGAGGCTGGGGCTGGCTGCCCAGCCCCTCCCAGAGGCCCTGGTTCTTCTGATCTCTGTGTGTATAGCCATCTTTTTTCACACGTCTGCATTGGGATCAGGATTCCTTTCCTGGGCTGGCTGCCCCCCCCCCAGCTGTGTGACCCCAGGTAACCCGCCTAGCCCCTCTGTGCTTGGGTTTCTCCATCTCAAAAACGGGGTCCCAGTAGTGGCTGCCCCGGCCAGGGGACGCCTTGGCGGGGTGTCTCTGGCATTGTCATCACCAGACGAGGAAACTGAGGCCTGGTTTAGTTCCTAGCGAGGAAGCTGGGCTTCGACCGGGGCCCCGCAGGCAGCCGACCTCAGCACTGCAAATGGAGCCTGCGCGCTGGCTCACAAGGTGCCACCTGCGACCTTGCCAGCCGCACCCAGACATTCACTGGACTGGCTTTCTCTAGAAGCTTCCCTCCCCTCCTGGTGGCTGCTTGAATCCGTGCAGGCCAGGGAAGACAGGGAGGGAGAGGAGGGGGAGGAAGGGGAGGGGGAGGGGGAGGAGACTTCCACAGGGAGCCCCTGGCCCAGCAAGAGCACAGCCTTCGGGCAGGAGCAGCCCTCCCCCTCCCCCCTCCTGCCCCCCCACCCCGCTGTCCCCAGCCTGTAAGTGTGAGAAGCACATCTCAGCCCCCGTCTCTGTCTGGGCTGTGCTTGTCACGCGTGGAACAGCCCGTGGAACAGCCCGCGGTTCCCCAACGCCTCGGGGGCCAGGAGCTGTCTTTCTACCCCTCATGGCGTGGGCGCCACGTGAGCCACCCGGTCTAGTCTGCATCCAGGGACGTCTGTGGGAAAGAAGCAGCAGCACCAAACCGTGGGGCATCGGTTAGTGCCGGACAGGTGGGGGGCGCTTGGAAAGCCTGCTGGGGGCGGGGCTCAGCCAGCAGAAAGGAGGGGTCTCGTGCGGCGTCTGCATTGCTGCTTCCATCCCTACCAGATCTGTGGAGGGATGGGGCGGCAGCTGCCCGCGCATGCGTGGGGGGGGGGGCTGTCATCCAGTCACAAAGGAAATGCAAATCGGAGTCTGGTCCGGGCCTGGCCTGGGCGATAAAGCAAAATGCTATCTCAGAAATTACCAAGGAGAGGGAGAGCCGCGGGTGCTCCTCGCCACGCAGGAGGCTGAGTCCTGAGGATCACGGTTCAAAGCCAGCCCGGGAGGAAAGCCAGTGAGACTATCTCCAATTAGTCACCAAAAAAAGCTGGAAGCAGAGCTGTGGCTCAAGTGGGAAAGTGCTATCTTTGAGGACAAAGCTCGGGGACAGCGCCACGCCCCAAGTCCAAGCCCCGAGAGACGGAGTTTAAACCCTAGCACCCACAAAGAGCCTCGGCGTCTGTCCGTTCGTTCGTGCGGGGGAGCATTCCACGCGGGGTCACCTCACTTTTAGCAAACTCAGTTTCTTTACATGAAACGTGGGTACCTGTCCCTCGGCCCCCGAGAGCGGGTTCCGGGTCTCCTCAGGAACACGGAAAGCGACGCTCCCGGCGGCCCTGACACAGCAAGGCGACCCGCGCACCTCCGCGTGGCGGGCGTGGCTCCCTGCGCTCCAGCCGGACACCGCTCCACTGCACGAGAACCGTGCACACGGCGTGCGTCCGCTTCCCTTCCGTCGTGTTCTGTCCAGAAGCAAGCTTTCCGCGTGGTTGAGAAACAACCTGAGATCCAAAGATAGGGAGGTGGCTGTCTGCTTCACAGTGAATTTCCCTGTGGGGTTGGGCTGGGACTTCTTGGTCATCCATTGAGAACACTCTAGAAACCAAGTAGGAGGCATATTATGAGGTATGAAACGCAGTGAAGAATGTGGAGGAAGAGAAATACATGAGGGAAGAGGGCTGGGAAGGTGCTCAGTGGTAGAGTGCTTGCCTAGCATGCGTGAGGCCCTCAGTACCACATACACAGAAAAAGCCAGAAGTAGGGCTGTGACTCAAGTGCTAGAGCGCTAGCCTTGAGCTGAAAAACAGAGGGACAGGGCCCAGGCCCAGAGTTCAAGTCCCATTCCAGGTGTGGGGGAACAGCAAGTGCAAAAGCCCTGAGGCACAAAGTGTGTTTGAGTAGCAGTGTGGTGACCTGAGGTGACTGAGGTTGGACTGCATGGGCAGGGAGGTCAAGTCCCGGTCAGGAGCACCAAATCCTGTGGCCCACGGGAGATGTTTGGATTTTATACAAAGGGCAGCAGGAAGCCACGGAGGGCGTTTGAGGGGTGGGAGGGAGGCAGGATCTGGATGTGCTGATGTGTCCGGGCTTTGAGCCAGGGGGACGGCAGGTGACCAGTGAGGACTTGGAGAGGAGGGGGGTGGTCTCTGGACCACTTCTGCAGTGAGCATCCCTGCTGGCTGAGGTGTTTACGCACAGATAGAGCAAGCGGTGAAGTGTGACTGCTGGGGTTGAGTGCCAGCAGCACCACACTCTCTGCAACTGTCAACATAAAACCTTTCTAAAAAGTAAGAAAGGTGCTGGGCGCCTGTGGCTCAGGAGTCAGATCTGCGGCTGCCAGCGGGGGCGGGAAGCCATGAGGCTCCTGTCCACAATCAACCAGCGAAAGGCTGGACGGAGAGCTGTGACTCAGGCAGGAGAGCACTCGCCTTGGGCAAAAAAAGCTCAGGCACAGCGCCAAGGCCCTGGACTTAGGATGTCCGGCCTAGGTGACAGTCGCTGGGGGAAGGGGAGCTTCCTACCCTCATTCCCAGCTGTCCCAACCCTCCAGGACTAGTGCTGGATCTCTCGGGACCGCAGGGCACCCATCCTGGCTGTGGGACACGGTCCCAGCCGGCAGGATTACTACCAGTGTCCGGCTTTTACCCTGTCATCAGCTCTGAGCTCGCGCAACCTACTGTGGGCCGCGCCATCCTCCAGTTACAGCACAGTAAACTGAGGCCCGGAGGCACCGAGTTGAAGGTGTGCACCTCTGGTTCCAGGTCAGGAAGACTACGACCGCCTGCGGCCCCTCTCCTATCAGAACGCTCACCTGGTGCTCATTTGCTATGACGTCATGAACCCCACCAGCTATGACAACGTCCTCATCAAGGTGAGAGGAAGGCCTGTCTGCGGGGGGGGGGGGGGGGAGGGTCCCATGGCGACATCCTCCCTCCCTCCCCCACAGTGGTTCCCTGAGGTGACACATTTCTGCCGCGGGACTCCCGTGGTGCTCATCGGCTGCAAGACTGACTTGAGGAAGGACAAGGAACAGCTGCGGAAGCTGCGCGCAGCCCAGCTGGAACCCATCACCTACTCACAGGTGCCGCCCCCCCCCCACGGCTGCCACGCCCAGAAACCGCCCTGATCCTGTTTCACGAGGGGGGGGAGGAAGCCGAGACCCTGGAGGTCAAGCAGCTTCTCAGGGCACAGCTAGCGAAGTAGAGCCAGGGCCAGTGCTCCAGCCCCAGAGGCCCCCATCCACACGCCTTCCCCGCCCACCCCCCACCCCTGCCTGGGACCAGAAGCCGAAAGACATCCCTACCCCGTCATGCCAGTCCTGGGGCTTGAACTCAGGGCCTGGGCACTGCCCCTGAGCTGCTTTTGCTCAAGGCTAGCACTCTACCACCTAACCCACAGTACCCCTTCTGGCTTTTTCTGTGTATGTGGTACTGAGGAATCAAACCCAGAGCTTCATGTGTGCTAGGCAAATGCTCTACCACTAAGCCACCTTCCCTGCTCCACTGTGGCTTTTTAAGAAACAGAATACACAGAAGGAAAGAAAACACAAAATTAATTTAAAAGAACAAAAAACTTGAATCCAGGCATGGTGGGACATACCTGTAATCCAAAAGTTTGAGGCAAGCCCTGGATACTAGCAAGACCCAACTTTAATAATATATTAATGGTAAACTCACTTAAAAATAAACAATTAAAAGCCAGGCACCAGGGGCTCACGCCTGTAATCCTAGCTACTCAGGAGGCTGAGATCTGAGGATCATGGTTTAAAGCCAGCCAGGGCTGGCTCTGAGTGGTGCTGAGGCTCAAGTGGTAGAGCGCTCGCCTTGAGCTGAAAAGCACAGGGACAGCGCCCAGGCCCAGAGTTCAAGCCCCACGACCAACAAAAATAAAATAAAAAATAATTATTTTGCAGTACTGAAGTTTGAACTCAGGGCCTTGCACTTGCTAGGCAATCTAGGACTTGAGCCATATCTCCAGCCCTTTCTTGTGTTAGTTATTCTTTTGAGTAGTTTCATATTTCTGCTGGGCCAGCCTGGCCTGAGATCCTGTTTATTTCTCAAATAGCTGGGATGGCAGGTGTGCATCACCATACCCTGATTTTATTGAGTTGGAAGTCTCCTTAACTTTTTGCCTTGGCTGGCCTCAATTCTTGATCCTCCCACACTCTGCCTTCCAGATAACTAGGATTACTGGTAGGAGCCATCACACCTTGCTTTTGTTTTTTTTTTTTAATTTTCTTTAATAATTTTTGTGACTACATAAATTCACGAATTTCACAGTATTGTGAGCTAGTGATACTTAAAGGCACGAACACATTCTAGCCTTCATGAGGCAAACTGTTGTCATCGTGGTCTATAGTTTATGAATTCTATGAGCTTTGTCAATACAGCTATTTCTTCCACATTGGGTGGTATGTACATTTCTTTCCTTCTGCTCCCTCTCCCTCCTTGGGTTGTTTTGATCTTAGCAAGTTCACTGGTTCATGCTGACAGAGAAAATAGAGGGTGTAGGGAGGCTTTCTGTTTTGAGGACTTACCGTTCTCCTGGGCTTGCCCCAGGCAGCCATGGGGTACTGAGCCCACCAAGTCCTACGCATACACATACACAGCGGTGAGGGCCAGTCCTGGGATGGGGAAAAGGCTCAGGTCTCCAAGGCCTCCACCTCCAGGCGCACCCCCCCCCCCCCCCACAACCAGCCCCCTCCCGTAACGATGTCGCCTCTCCCGGCCCAGGGCCTGAGCGCCTGTGAACAGATGCGGGCCGCACTCTACCTGGAGTGCTCGGCCAAGTTCCGGGAGAACGTGGAGGATGTCTTCCGAGAAGCCGCCAAGGTGGCCCTCAGGGCTCTGAAGAAAGCTCAGCGGCAGAAAAAGCAGCGGCTCTGCCTGCTCCTGTGACCCCGAGGCCAGCGGAAACGGAACTGACCACCCTGGGCAAGCCCCGTCCCGCTCTGCAGCCCTGGGGGTCTGGAGCTAGTCTTAGAACCTCCTGGAACTCTCCATGAACTCACCTTTGGGCTCACCCTGGAGTAGAGTGGTGAACAAGGGGACTGGACCTGGGGGTGCGCCCAAGACTCGAGGGCCAGTACCTCCAGCCCCACCCCAGCGTGTGCCACGGTGCGACTACGTGGGGAAAATGTGGGTCTGCACCGGTCCACGTGGGCACCCAAGCCCGTGGCTCCCGGGGTAGGCAGGGCCACAGCCTCCAGCCTCCCCCACACACCTGGGCTCCAGACGCCCAGGGGGAGAAGCAGCATCTGTGAAAACTCAGGTTGCCTTGGGGCGCACATCTGTCCCCTGCTTAGGGGTGGACCTAGGAAAGCACCCTTCCTATTGGAGACTCCTGATGGAAGCTTCCACCAGCCCCCTGGGGACCTAAGGCAAGTCATTCTCTCTCTAGACTGTCCCCATGGGTGAAGGGGGAGCTAGACGGCTGCCGTGGTCTAGACCCCCACCTTCCGCCGCTGATGGGCTCTGCTCGCATGGGGTGTGGCACTCTGAGTCCAGGCCCGGCCTTCTTCAGAACTGACCGTTTCCACAGGCCAGTGGTCAAAGCTGGCCCCCAGACTGCCTGCCACTTGCTGACGGCCAGATTCCTGCACCCTGAGCCTCCTCCAGGGGGGTCCAGATGAGCCAGGATGCCAGGGAAGGACACTTCTGAGCCCTCCCACCCCAACCCATGGCTCTCCTGACCCCCGGGGAGCCAACAATGGGCTCCCTATTCCTGTACAGTCCCCAACCTCACGGACAATTGACAGGGTGGGGAAGAGGTCAGCAACCACAGCCCGGGCCTGGTCTGGTCAACTGCCTGTTTTGTAAATAAAGTTTTATTGGAACAAGGCCATGTTCGCTCATGCATCAGCTGTTTTTGCTTTGCAGTTTTTGCGTGAGTAATCCTTGTGACACCATGTCACCCACAATGCTTAAAATATTTACCATTTGGGCTCTGATAGGAAATGTTTGCTAACCCCTAATCTGGAGTCACCCACATGCCAGCCTGCAGAGGGCAAGCAGTACCCAGGGAGGGAGGGCCGGTGGGGCTGGTGACTGGGGGTGGCGCCCCATCTTGCCCCTTTCTAGGGAAAGTAGATGCCTAGGGTTTATTGGAATCTCACCCTGGGGAAGGAGCAATCTTATGAATAACTAAAGTAAAGCCCCTGTGAGGGCCGTGTGTCTGTGGTTGCCAGCGGGGTCATCTGTAGGGAAAGTGCCCTTAGGGGCAGCACCTCAATGGGCCCTGGTGGCTTCTCTATCCCCCCCACCACAGAGCCTGAAGTGGGGCAGTGACCACACCTGCCCCGGCCTCACCAGGCAGGCCCTGGGCCCTGCTCAGGACCTCTGGGGTGGAGAGAGAACAGTGGACAAACTCCTTGGCCCAACCCAGCCAGCAGGGAACATCGGGGTCCCACTTCGGAGGTCTCACCTGTGGAGGTGAAGCGTGGATGGGAACTGTGTCATTGACACATAGGGCCAAACTACCTGGGGGCTGGGGCGCCCTCCAGCGGTGACCCTCCTTAAACCTTGGCCCCTCAGGGCCAGCGGGTGGGTGGCTCAGGAAGTAAGAGGCAGAAAGACAGGCATTAGTTCTCTGAGAACTTAAATAAGCCCCCGCCACAGATGGCGGGGTGCGGAGGGGCTTACAGCAGAGGCGGGCCCAGGGGAGGGGGCTCCACGGGACGCTGGAGGCCTCATCCCACCTGCCCAGGACCCAGGAAGTTGCAGGTCAGAAGAAATCCAACGCTGGCGAGGCACATCCAAACCCCAACAAGGGGCTCAAATGACAGGAGTGGGCAGAGGGGCTCCCTGAGGCTTCCGGCCCCTCCCGGAAGACAGTCCCAGACTTGGTCACTGCCAAGAGCAGCGGGGAAGCTGGGAGGACCGGCATTAAATAACGTCATAAATAGGGAGGCTGGGGCGAGTTAATACTGTGCGCACAGGCGGGCTTCCCGGCACTGTCCAGCCAGGGACAGCGGCCTCAGCCCTGCCCCCCGCCACGCCGCACTGCTGGTCCCCGAGATGCTGCTGCCAAGTGGGCTGGAGTCCCCAGCAGTTCAAAGTTCAGAGGTCCCCAGGGCAACGCGTCCTGAGCTCAAGCCTGCTTCGTCTTCTTTCTGTTCTTCTGCAGTTTGGCGTGCACGACTTTGAGGGTGGTCAGGAAATTGCCCAGGAAGAGGATGAGGAAGGTGATGGCCAGCACGAACACCTGGGGCCCAGAGGGAGGCGGCCAGCCGGGAGGGAGAAGCCGAGTCAGTGCCCCAGAAGCCCAGAAGGCCATGGGGGTGGCCAGCAGAAGACAGGGAACAGGGGTCTGACAGGACAGGGTCCTGGGAGGATACTTGGTGGGGTGAACCATGTTGCGTAGACCCCCGAGGCCCCCCTGCCATCTGACTCCCTCCAACCCACACCATACCTGCCATTCTTTGCATTCTTCATGGCTGGAGAGCTCAAACAACGTTACAGCATTGTAGAGTTGCCAGAACTGAAGACAAGACAGACATGGCTCACCACACATGCCCATGCTCTGCAGGCCCATAGGAAAGGGGGAGAGGCTCCCCAGCTTCAGCTATCACTGAGACCCCGTTCCCCTTGCTCCTGAAACCCTAGGTGTCTTGTCCACAGCAGGTCTGTGGGCCAGCTCCACTTCCTGTCCTTCATGTCCCTGGGGACAGAGGCCTCCCCGAGGTGTGACTGTTGGTCACTCTGTGGGCAGGAAGGAGGACCTCAGATTTTCCCCAGCACTGAGTCATCAGTAAGGAGCTGGGCTGAGCAGCCCCACATCCCAGCTGCTGGGGACAATCTGTGAAGAAGGCAGAGGCCAGAAGACCTTCTGTTCCCAGGGTTCAGCCCAGAGACAAGGGGGACTTACGTGACCACAAAAGAGAAAGGGCAGGAGGAACGTGAGACCTCGCCACATCCAGGACTGGAAGCCTTCTGTGGAGAAGAGGGAAGGGCTGAGGCCCCAGTGCCTCACCAGGCCCTCAACCCAAGATTAGCCGGGTTAGTGCTCCCCTTTGAGGTAGGGCGAGAGAGCACGATAGAGACACCAGAGGATCTGCAGGGCCACCAGGTCCAACGCTCAGGAGTCCAGTGGCCTGGCCACACTGAAGGGCACCAGGAACGTTGGCCAGTTCCTTAATTTGTGTGGGATTCTATGTGCAGGCACAGGGTTCAGTCATGTCGACACAAGAGCCCGTTCTGCAGGGATGGCTGTGTGGACTGGGAAATAGTTTTCCCTGCAAGTTTGGAGGGAGGCTCTCCAAGCACTTCCAACTGGGTATCCCATGTGTGAAAAGAATTGGGCAAATGTAGATGTATTTACATACATTTATTTCCCAATGTATATGTAGATACGTTTACATAAATATATGTTCAATCCTATGTATGTGTGTATGTCTGTGTGGGTTTTTTTTCTTTTCGTTTTATTTTTTTGTGCCAGTCCTAAGGATTGAACTCGGACTGGGAACTGTTCCTGAGCTTTTTTGCTCAAGGCTAATGCTCTACCACTTGCGCTACAGCTCCACTTCCAGCTTTTTTGCTAGTTAATTGGAGGTAAGAGTCTCAAGGACTTTCATGCTTTGGATAGCTTCAAAGCTCAATCCTCAGGTCTCAGCCTCCTGAGTAACTGGGATTATGGCCATGAGCCACCAGTGCCTGGCTTTTTTTTTTTCCCCCCTGTGAGATGTGTTGTCCAGGATGGATCAAGGGATCCGCTAGTATGAGTTACCCAAGTAGCTAGCTAGGATGGTGGGTATGCTACGCATGTATCACGTGTGTCATAAAATGCAAGAAAAGGGACATTTCTATGACAAAGGGCAAAGGCCCAGCACTTAAGAGCCAGCCTCGCACTTGGTGGTAGCTGAATAGAACCCATGGTGAACTCAGATAAAGGAAGTCAGTCCTGGTTTTGCTGCATGGAAATGATGTTCTTGCAGAGATAGGCCCCCGGTGAGGGAAGGGGGAAGGGAGTGGCTGAGTGAGCCTAGCTCATCCCTCCTTACTGGCTACTCACCCACAGTGAGGTCCAGGTGATTCCTCTCCCCCAAGGCCCGCAGCCGGTAGAGGCAGCCCCTCTGGTAATAGTACTGTAGGAACTGGACACAGCCTGTAGGGGGCGCACAGAGCACAGGCTCAGGACAGGTTCCCCAGGACAGGGCAAAGATGCCTCTCTCCCCTAACAGACCTGCAGGCTGGTGGGTTGGGAGGGGCCCCAGCTACAACCCTCCTTAGCCTCTACCCAAGATGCACATGATATCTCATACTGGTCAGAATCATCAAATGCAAGTAGTTCAGATATGCTTGCTGGGTGGCCTGTGCTATGCTAGGAGTTACATGCCATGGTCAGATGTATACATGAGACAGTTGCACAGAGAGAAAATCTGACTGATAATATGAGGAGGTACTGACATAGAAACACAGCGATGAGGGGCTGGGAAGGTGGCTCAGTGGTAGAGTAATTGTCTTGCAGGCATGAGGCCCTGGATTCGATACCTTAGTACCACATAAGCAGAAAAAGCCAGAAGTGGCATTGTGGCTCAAGTGGTAGAGCGCTCCCCTTGAGCTGAAGAGTTGAGGGACAGCACCCAGGCCCAGAGTTCAGGCCCCATGACCAACCAAAAAAAAAAAAAACAGTAGGTCAGAATAGTAAAACACTATCTGCAGAAAGATTCCATAGTTGTAATAGATGTATAGTGCAATACATCTATCTATCTATCTATCTATCTATCCACACACAGATATTTATAAATAAAACAAACAAAACATTGGAAAGAACATAGATATTTTTTTTTCCTTTTGGTCGGTCGTGGGGCTTGAACTCTGGGCCTGGGCGCTGTTCCTAAGCTCTTCAGCTCAAGGCGAGTGCTCTACCCCTTGAGCCACAGCGCCACTTCCAGTTTTCAAGTAGTTTATTGGAGATAAGAGTCTCATGGAGGGCTGGGAAGGTGGCTCAGTGGTAGAGCGCTTGCCTTGCATGCATGAGGCCCTGGGTTCGATTCCTCTGCACCACATAGGCAAAAAGAAAAAAGCTGGAAGTGGCACTGTGGCTCAAGTTGTAGAGCCCTAGCCTTGAGCTGAAGAGCTGAGGGACAGCACCCAGGCCCAGAGTTCAGTCCCCACGACCAGATCCCCCCCCCAAAAAAAAAAGAGTCTCATGGACTTTCCTGCCCAGGCTGGCTTTGAACCACGATCCTCAGATCTCAGCCTCCTGAGTAGCTAGGATTACAGGCCTGAGCCAATGGCGCCTGGCTAAGAACATAGACCTTAATTAATGTTAATCATTCTTAAGGGGAAGATTATATAGTTTTCTTGGCTTTATATATTTATATCTGTTTGCAAATAAGTTTTGCTTAAATTTTAAATTGTAGTCTTTTTTTTTTTGGGGGGGGGGGTCTGGTCGTGGGGCCTGAACTCTGGGCCTGGGCGCTGTCCCTCAGCTCTTCATGAAGCTCAAGGCTAGCGCTCTACCACTTGAGCCCAGCACCACTTCTGGCCTTTTTTTTTTGCATATGTGGTGCTGAGGAATCGAACCCAGGGCCTCATGCATGCAAGGCAAGTGCTCTACCACTGAGCCATCTTCCCAGCCCTAAATTGTAGTCTTGAATGGGTTGGGTGTAGTGGTTCATGCCGGAAGTCTCGGCACTTAGAAAGTAAAGAGGAATGCTTGAGTCTAGAAGTTCAAACCCAGCCTAGATTACATAGTGAGACCCCCTCTCAAAAAAGAAGAGTGGGGATCTGGGCCATAGCTTAGTTTAGTTACACATTTAGTTTGAGCAACTCTCAAATTAAATTTTATACACACACATCCATTTTACGAATCTATCTAAACTGGGAGACAAGGTTGGCTGTATGAACTACTCAGTTCCCTGAAGTTGCACTGGTCCCACTGAGGGACTGGTGGGTGTGGTTTCCCGCAGGCCATGGGGCGGGGTTATTCTGGAGGAATGTGGCTCTTTTCTGGAGTTCAGGCCAGTGCCCTCGGCCTCCTCAGCCTCCCTCCCAAGCAGGAACCTCTCTGAGAGAAAAGCCTTAGGAAACCAGCCCTCCCCTCCAAACTGAGATCAGACACTCACTCTGGAAAATTGAAAATGCTAAAAACTGATTGCGAAACTTCTGATAAATTAGTCCATTGGGCCTGGAAGGAAAAAAACGCAAAAAAAAACAGAAGTAAGCCACACTGTGAAATCTGCCATTCATCCCCTGACCCAGGTCCCAACTTCTGTCACCACCCATTCTAGAACCCAGGCGCTCACAAGAGCACTCAGGAGCCTCATGCACACCCTCTGAAGAGCGGGCAGGAATGGTGAACTCTCCCTGAACACCCCAGCTGGCTGGGCACGCCTAGACTGGGCTAGACACAGACTCCAGGCCTTCTAGACCCAAGAGCTGGCCCCGGAGGCCCCACCCACATCTGGATCCTCCCAAGCCCCAGCTCTAGTGGCACCCAGGAGGCAACTCACCAGGTCAGCATGACTCCCGACAGGAACGTGGAGACATAATGGTGAGACACCCACCAGCCTTTAATTCTTGGGGAGAACAAGAAAAGGAAAGGAGCTCAGGCGGGGAGGGGAACAGCATCTGCCTCTGCGTCCAACCTGGATGCACTGGGTGGGGCAGAGCGTAGCTGGGCTGCAGCTGAGGCTGGCGGTCTTTTGGACTAAGCAGCCATGCCTATGTGGAAGGGACTGCTTGAAGACAGAGCCACCAGCCCCAGACTGAAAGGATGAAGTGTCCATTGTTTAAGATGCCTGGGAAGTGGGATAGTTGTTGGCAGACTCACCCAGGGCCTCCGTGCTCACTGTCTATCTTCTGCACTGAGACCTCTGGCTGGCTGGCTCTGGGTGCCAATTCAAGCTGCAGACCCATTGTGGCCTCCTGTGAAGGTCCTCCCCGAGCCCTGTGCCCCGCACAGCCCGCTCCTGCTTCCTGCTCGTTTCTTCACAGTGCTCCCACAGTGGCCCTCCGGTCTCAGCTCTGCGATGCTGGCCGCCCCTCTACTCCCTTGGCTGCAGCGGCGGGCCGCAGACCCCAGGCAACACGACTGCCTGAGGAGCAGCTCCAGCACACGCCACCCATTGAGAGCCCAGGGACACCAGGGGAAGGCAGCACTTGCTCCTTCCCCAGAGTGGCAGTCCCGACGCTCCCTGGCCAGCTGCAGCCCCCGAGCTCTGGGTTGATTGTGTGCCATGTGTGTGTGCACAACACTTTTTAGTATGGTGTATGTCATGATACAACACTTTATATTGTGGGGTAAGTCAGTTACTGGACAATTTGTCCAGTCCAAGTATAGAATTCAGTGGTTTTCAATACCTTCACAAAACTGTACAATCAGCATTCCAATTCATTTTATTTGTTTTGTCCCAATCCTAGAGCTTGAACTCAGGGCCTAGGCACTGACACTGACAATTTTTTGCTTAAGGCTAGCGTTCTACCACTTGAACCACAGCTCCATTCCCAGTTTTTGAGTGGTTAATTGGAAATAAGAGTCCCAGGACTTTTCTGCCTGGGCTGATCCTCAGATCTAAGACTCCTTAAAAGCTAGGATTACAGGCTTCACAATTCATTTTAGAGCCTTCTGTCAACCCCAAAAGAAAGCTGCACCCACAGAGGCTATGTTCTGCACCTGTTTTCCACAGAAACTAACCTTGCCTGATTTTGATGAGCAGAAGAAAAGCAGGTGTACGCACCCCCAGGGGGGAGGACAACATGTCCTGGCCTCTGGGGATGAGGTCAGGAGATGGCTGTCCTCCCTCTGGGGCCTGTCAGCCATGTTCACCTTTGTGCAGAAGAGATATGTACCCAACACCCTTCAACCCCAACGGCCTTCTGACATGCACTCCAGGTTAGAGACACAGGCAGAGGGACCCCACCCCATCTGCTGCCCCCTCTACACCTGCTCCAGATACCACCTGAAAAAGCCAGGGAGAGCCAGGCACCAGAGGCTGGTGCCAGAAAAGCCAACACATACCAGGTGACTGTGGCTCACACCTGCAATCCTGACTACTTGGGAAACTGAGATCTGAGAAGCCAGCCAGGGAAGAACAGTCCTTGAGATTTTTTTTTTTTGTCTTTTCTTTTTGGGTACTGGGGATCGAACCCAGGACGTTGCGCTTGCTAGGCAAGCGCTTTGCTACTGAGCTACATCCCAGCCCAAGTCCTTGAGATTTTTATCTCCACTTAACCAGCAAAAAGCCAGATGAGATGGCGACAAAGGGTGCAGCAGCAACACTCACTTGACACCGTGGAAAATGATCTATACAACTGTGTATGGGATGGGAGAGAAAAACTGGCAGAGAGTAAGGAAAGGGGTAACATTGTCCAAAAAGAAATATATTCTACCTGACACGTAACTGTAACCTCTCTGAACATCACCTTTAAAATAACAATAAAAAAATTAAAAACAAAAAAAGCTAAGCCATGCACTGGTGGCTCTGGTCTATAATCCTAGCTATTTAGGAGGCTGAGATCTGAAGATTGAACTTTGAAGCAGGGCAGAAAAAGTCCCTGTAAGACTCTTATCTCCGGGGCTGGAAAGCTGGCTCAGTGGTAGAGCGCTTGCCTTGCATGCATGAGGCCTTGGGTTCGATTCCTCAGCACCACATAAGCAAAAAGAAAAGAGCTGGAAGTGATGCTGTGGCTCAAGTGGTAGAGCTCTAGCCTTGAGGTGAAGAGCTGATGGACAGCGCCCAGGCCCAGAGTTCAGGCCCCACGACCGGACCCCCCCGCAAAAAGAAGGCTCTTATCTCCAATTAACTCCCCAAAAACTGGAAGTAGGGGCTGAGACTCAAGTGGGAGAGTCTCAAGTGGAAGAGTGCTAACCTTGAACACAATATCTCAAGGACAACACCCAAGCCCCTAGTTCAAGCCTTCAAGCCCCATGACCAGGGGGTTGGGGGTGAGGGGTGGACAGAAGTAGAGCTGTAGATCAAGTAGTAGAGTACACTTTTGAGTGAAAAAATCTAAGGTACAGCACCTAGTCCCTGAATTCAAGCTCCAGTAACAGCACAAAAACAAACAACTTGTTATTCATCTGACCTAGAAAACCCTGTAGAGCTCCCCAGCCACGGGGCCTGTGGTCAGGGTCTGTTACCTTGAGCCATTGCTGATGAGGATGCTCTCCCGGATGGTCAGGGTACAGTAATACCACACGAGCAGGAAGTTAAAGATCTCATCCGTCACCCTGGCATAAAGAAAAGCCCCGGGAGGGGAGCAGTGTAAGATCCGAGCATAGCTGGCCTGTCCTCAGCCCAGGAATTGTGTTGCTGATCGCCTTGTGTCTACACCCCTGCTTATGGGCACGCGCTACCAATATGCCTTTGCCCTCAGGGACACGGGCCAAGGCCTAGCAGCAGGCCAGCAAGAGCCCAGGGCCTTCAAGGCCCAATGCTGGGACATCTGTGACCAGCACAGTGCTGGCCAGGAAATTAACCCTTGACATCTGGGCCAAATGTTAAGCTGTATTTGGCTTAACATTTTCTGTCCCCTCGGGGCAGAAAAACCAAGACAGAGGAAGGAACAGCCAGCCACGGTCACAGCATGACCCATCCCGCTTCTCTGCACGCACAGGCCAGACACGGTGCTCATGGCCACAGCCACAGACACAGCCACAGCCACGCAGTGTGAGCTCAGTGATTTGCCACCCTGGAGAGGCCCAGCCCCTGGCACCTGTGTGGCTTCCCAGGGGAACCTGCCCTGCCAAGAGCCTCTGGGCTGAATAGGCACGCTCTTCCTTCCTTCTTCCTTCCTTCCTTTTGTCATTTAAAAAACATAATTAAGCTATTAACTCACAGACCACGAAGTTCACTTTTTTCACATATGTAATTCAGTGAGGCACAATTCTAGTCACAGAACTATCTGCTTCTAGAACTTTTTTTTTTTTTTTAACTCAGGGCCAGGGCACTGTCCCTGAGCTTCTTTTGCTCAAGGCTAGCACTCTACCACTTGAGCCACAGCGCCACTTCTGGCTTTTTCTGTTTATGTGGTACTGAGGAATAGAACTCAGGATTTCACACATACTAGGCAAGCATTCTACCACTAAGCCACATTCCCAGCCCTTCTAGAACATTCTTACCCTCCAAAAAAGAAACCCTGTAAGCCACAAGAAGAGCTGCCCCTCCTCCAACCTGTGGCAAGCACAGGTCCACTGTCTGATGACCTGCCCAACCTCCACGTTTCCTACGGATGGGCCTGTGTGCCTGGCCCCTTCATGCAACGTGACGTTCTCCATGTTCACCCATGTTCCATGTGGCAGGGTTTCAGGACTAGCACTCCATAGAACAGGTAAGCTCTCCCACCCCCCAAACCCTTGTCATGAGAACCTTCCAGTACTCTTCAACAGCTCCCTGCTGATGACATGACATGGGTAGACAGGAATGCGGCTCCACAGAACACTGGTTCCAGTGCAACCTATACCTCAGCACCAAACGTGGCCGAAGCAGACCTGCACCCCCCGGGACCCCTCGACCTTGCCCCGCACACTACCTGTAGTGGAGAACGAAGCGACACGCCACCGCACCCAGAAGTAGGATTATGGTCAGGTAGAGCTTAAATTTCTCATACTCGTCCTTGTAGGCAAACCTGCCAAGAGACACCCAGAATAGGCCCCCAACTGCTCTCCCCAGGGTGCCCTGGGACAGGACCCTCAGCTCCATCAGCACTCCAGGACCTGCCCATCCCACCAGAGGGGAACCTGGCCTGGAATCAGTGATGACCAATGAAGCAAAGAAGGTCAACGGCCTTGGACCCATGGGTTCCAGCTCTGGACCCATGTTGGGACCTGCAGCAGGAGCAAACCAGGTCTCCTCTTTCAACCAAGGGATATGACGGAAACACCAAGGGCCACAGCCACTTAGAAATGGATAGAGGATTCACGTGGACAGGACCCCTCCCCAATTCCTCTGAGAGAAATGCTGTGATACGAGAAGGAACAGAACAAGGGCCATTCTCATGGAAGTGGACAGTACTACCCGGCAGCCTATGCCAGGGAGGCAGGGAGAAAGCAAGGGGAGGGAAGGAAGACAGGCTCAGTATATTTTTATCTGTACAGAAATCAAAGTGTGAACCCCTCTTGCATGTGTGGAAAGAGCAAGATGCCCATGCGTGTGGGGGTGCCTCAGGGGGTCTGGGCGTACTCACTTGGCCTGGTTGCTGAGGAGGGTCACGTTCACATTACCGAGGACCAGATTTAAGTAGAGCCTAGAAGGAAAGACCTGTGAGGGCTGTGGTGCTTAAGGGCCCAGGCAGCAGCCCCATCCCCAATCATTCACGCTTCCTGAGCAAAAGGAGAGCTCTGCTCATTAGGACGTTGGATGCTGGGCTAGGAAGGTGGCTCAGGGCTTGCCTCGCATGCATGAGGCCCTAGGTTCAATTCCTCAGTACCACATGAGCAGAAAGCCAGAAGTGGCACTGTGGTAGAGGGCTCTCCTTAAGCTCAAGAGCTGAGGGACAGCGCCCAGGCCCAAAGTTCAGGCCCCACAACCAACAACCATAAGAAAGAAAGACAGACAGACAGACAGGGAGAGAGAGAAAGAAAGAGAGAAAGAAAAGAAAGTTGGAAGCTAAGCTGGAGGTCTATGGACTTCACATCTCCCGAGAACAATCATTTTCTAACTAACATGACAACTCTATTGTCAGTGAATGTTTGTCTGTTTTTCAGTTGGGGAGGGGGGTGTTTTCTCTGTGTGCTCAGAGTACCAAAAACCTACTCTCAGCAAATTTCTGATATGGAAAACAATATAACAATATAACTGACTAATGTCCTTAATGCTAGTAGATCCCTAAACTTATTTATACACCCAACTTTAAGTCTAGCCCCTGTGGCATCTTCCCACTTGAGCCACAGCTCCACTAACAGCTTTTTGGTTGTTAATTAGAAATAAGAACATTCTCAGGGACTTTCCTTCCTTGGCTGGCTATAATTGAGATCCTAAAATCTCAGCCTCTCCAGTAGCTAGGATTACAGGCATGAGCCACCAGTGCTTAGCATTACATACGTAACTTTCATCTTTTTAGATTCCACATGCAAGTTAGAGCATGCAATATTTTTTCTCTTTTACTTGCCTATTTCCCTAAAGTTCATCCGTATATTTTCAGTTTGGGGCTGGGTTTTTCTTTTTTTTCTTGAGATATAATTCAACATACAGTAAAACTTACCCTTTGAAAACACAAGATTCAATTTTTCTAATATGCTTACAGTGCTTTACCACCATCACCATGACCTAATCCCAGAACATTCCATCACTGAGAAAGAACCCTGTGATCCCTAGCAGTCGGGATTCCCCCATTTGCCCTCCCCAGCCCCCAGCAGCCAATTCTCTCTCTGTTCCTCTGGGTCTGTCTGTTCTGGACACTTCATACGAAAAACACCATCTAATAGAAACCTTCTGAGTCTCTGCTTTGCAAATCAGAGACATACAAGACATAGCAGTATTTCCACTGGGAATACATCAGGAGAGGAATTTCTGGGTTACAGCACATATATGTATTGGTTTTCCCAGGAAATGGTAAAACGGTTTCCAAAACAAGGGATTTACCTATCTTCCTTCCCTTTCCTGAGAATTCGGTGGTGGGAGCCAGCATTGCCCCTGGATGGGATGAATGGCCATGAAGTGGAGAACCAGTCAGCTGGAAGAGGAGACTATATACATAGGGACAACTACACAGCGAGGGCTCCTAGATGTATAGATACTTGAAGGCATTGCCAGTTTGTAGAAGTAACTGGAGCTGGGTATAAAGAGGACAATCTGCAGGGTGCTGAGGGCTCATGCCTGTTATCCTAGCTATTCACGAGGCTGAAATCTGAGGATCCTGATTCAAAGTCAAACCAGGCAGCAAAGTCCAAGAGACTCTTATCTCAAATTTATCACAGAAAAAGCAGGAAGTGGTACTGTAGCTCAAAGTGGTAGTGTGCTAGCCTTGAACAAAAGCTCAAGGACAGTGCCCAGGCCCTGAGTTCAAGCTCCATGACTGACAAAAAATAAAATAAAAAAATAAAAAGGGCAATCTATTTTGCCTGCCTGGACTCATTCCCTACACCCTGCAAGAGCAATGCAACACTCTTCGGACAACCATTTCCCTCAAGACACAGGACCCAACCAGAGCAGTGCATTCTCCTGGTTGGATCCAATGATCATGTGATATCACCTATGCAAATGAGAATCAACTCTGAGATTCTTCCTAGAATTTGGGAATAGACCTTCTTGCTATCTTAAGCAGTTATGACAAACCCACAGTTGCTAGCAGCTGGTCTATAGAGAAACTATCTAAGAATGAAATGTATATACGGGAAAAGAAAGTGAAAAGGAAAGCTACATGAGGGGCTGGGAAGGTGGCTCAGTGGTAGAGTGCTTGCCTTGCATGCATAAGGCCCTAGGTTCGATTCCTCAGCCCGACATAAGCAGAAAAAGCTGGAAGTGGCGCTGTGGCTCAAGTCGTAGAGCACTAGCCTTGAGCTGAAGAGCTGAGAGACAGCGCCCCGGCCTAGAGATCAGGCCCTATGACCAGCAAAAAAAAAAAAGAAAAAGAAAAAAACAAGAAATCCACATGAGATAGGTCTTACCAGTATCATTTCAGCAGCAGGATCCACCAAACCTGGAGCTAACCTGGACTTTTCAGTTACACAAGCTGAAATGCACTCTCCCCCCCCCCAACTTTTTTGGGCAACTTTAAATTGTGTTTCCTGGCATTTATAGCATAAAGCTTCTTTAGTGAGGAGGAACGCACAAAGGCCTTGTGAGACAGAAGCCGGGGAGGCATCGTAAGCAGCACGTTTTATATGAATAACGGGCTGTTGTTTCACTCTGAGCAAAATTACCACCAGCTAACTCAGGGAGTTTTTAGTCTATATACAGCAAAAACAAAAACAAAAAATAACAAAGAGGAACTGGGTTAAAATGTGACAGGGCGCCAGAGCCACCCCTACGGCTGCACAGGGCCTCAGAGGGACCTCCTGCCTTCCTAAAGGAGTCCCAGGGGGAGGCTCTGAGCCCGTCCCAGGCTGAACCAGAAACAGGGTCAGGGTCCAAATGTCTCCTGCTCGCAACCTGACCTGGTCAAACCTGGACTATGGCATGTGGACAGGATGTCCTCTAATGTTTCTGAACCGTATAAAAATCTGAAGCAATAGGTGTTGAGCACAAAATGATAGAAATCACAGGAGCACCCATCCAGCACACTCAATATGTGCTGGCTGTCTTGGAAGAGAACGCGTTCCCACAAGAGCCCAGGGGCACACACCTGAGAGATGCCAGCTTCCCAGGAGTCCTCCCAGGAGCACTACTGTAACCAGGTGGAGCCTGGGGCCCCTCCGGGAACCAGAGGAGACAGTGGGAAAAGTCCTCTTTCTTCCTGTCCCAGCTCCCTGCTTTCCCCTCAACCTCAAGTTCCAGCAGGGGGGGAGTCCCGTAGGAGGGGCTCTTGCCTACCCATTCTTCTTGGGCAGGTAGGCCTCCATGTCGAAGAAGACATTTTGTCGTTCCTTGATGTGTGTGCCCATCTGCTGGATAAGCTCTGCCTCCTCCTGACTCGCTTGGCGCCTATACCTATGGCAGGAGGTGGGGGTGAAGAGGAAAGGGGCTTTGTTAAGACGCAGGAAGGGTCTGGATGCCCTGGGCATTTCCCTGGGCTCATCCACCAGCACCAATGCCTCAGGTCTCCATCTGTACCCTCTGCTCATGATTCAGGCTTCCTGGTAGCCTTGTGACCCTGGTAAACTCCTTGAGTCTTAGATCATAGTCCTGTGAGGATGCTCGAAGTACAGTGACTACTCTAGAACGATGCTCGCCACACGGGAGGGACTAGCAAAACTGTTTTTCTTTTCACTATTGAAACAGAAGAACGCAAGGATTACTGAAAGGACAGAGCTAGAAGGATGAGGAAGTCAACTCTGACTTCCAGGAAAACAACCGGATGCCAGTGGCTCACACCTGTAATCCTAGCTACTCAGGAGGCTGAGATCTGAGGATCATAGTTCAAAGCCAGTCTGGGCAGGAAAGTCTGTGAGACTCTTATCTCCAATAAACCATCAGAAAACCGGAAGTAGCTCTATGGTTGAAGTGACAGAATGATTGCCTTGAGCTGAAGAGCTCAGGGTCAGCGCCCACACCCAGACCCCATGACCAACCAAACAACAACAAAAAACAAACAGGAAAAGGAGTTGGGAGCCAGTCCCCACAGAATTGGGGAGTCCTAGGACTAGAATATTAAGTCACCAGTTACCCTTCTACCTTTCACCCTTCATTCTGGTTGACGCCATGGGGTGAGGGGCCCCTCACATCCTGGTGAGCCATCCCACAGCACTCAGGCCAGTCCTCCACGGACAGCACTGTCAGTAATGCCGAGGTGAGACTGAAATCAGCTTGGGACCCAGAAGGCCTGCCACCAGGAAGATGTGCTTTGCCAAGAGCTGCCATGTTTATAGGGGACTGTCTGTACACCCTACCCCATGATTAATGGGTGCCCCATTTCCTAAATGGACAGCTCAGGCTAAGGGTGTAAATAGTAACCTTCCCACCTTCCACCAAAAGAAAGAACTGAGCAGGAGTTACAGACTCTGGAATGGAGACCCAGGTAAGGGATCAGGAACAAGTCCCTCAGCCTCACTTTCCCTACCTACTTAGCATCTATGAGACTCATCCAAAGGATGAGAGAACTTCCCAAACCAGAGACAGGAAGCTGGAGAAGCAAACATCACAGGGGAAACAGAGCTAAGTCATAAGCTTGGGTTTATGTCTGTCTCCACCAAGGGTACTGAGAATCCCCAGCCCTGGAGACCTTAAGGGGAGCCCCCACAGCCTCAGGGATGCCTGCTGTTCATGTGGCCAGGAGAGCTGTTTACAGCAAGCAGCACCTAGCCTCACCAGAGAATTGGACGACCATCCTCTTCTCCCATTTGGATCAAATGTACTGTCCCATCCCACCAGGTCCCCAGGAGTAATCCTGCCCAAGCACAGCTCCACAATTGGTTCCTAGATGGGCACATGACCAACCCCAGCCAATGAGGACCACACTCAGAACTTGTCCAGTACTGGAGGCAGAAGTCCTCATTCTGTTGGGGTGGCCAGACCAGTGAGAAGGGAGACTGAAGGACCGGAACTTGGCATGAACATAGCCATCTCAGTGACTAGAAGGGGAGAGTCAGCCTGACAGCAGAGCCAGTATAGGAGAAGGCAGAATTGAGAGGAAAAAAACAAATTCCTACTAACACCCTTTGACCCCTAGATCCAGCATGCCTGATCCTACTCCTAGTTTTTTTCCACTAAAATTTCCATCCTCTGCTTAAGGTTTTTTCGTTTGGTTTTCTGTATGATTTTTTTTCCAGTGCTAGGGATAAAACCCAGAGATTAGAAATGCTAGCCAAGTACCCTACCACTGAGCTATGACCAACACATGGGCTTTGGGATTTTTGTTTTGTTTTTTTGACAGGGACTTACTATAGAGCCCAGGCTGGCCTCAAACAGGAGCTTCTCTTGCCTCAGTGTCTGGCATGTTGGGATTACAGGTGTGTCCTGTATTAGAGCTGTGCTTCTGTCTCTTAGAACCAGGGCACCTTTGGAGTCACTGCCCCACCTACCTCTGGAGTGTGTGCTTCAAGTCCTTAAGGCGCTTCTTTTGTTTGTTGATGGAGCTGCTGCACAGGGTCTGCAGTGCTGTCAGCTCCTCCAGCTTCTGCCTGTAAATCCTGTGCGTCTCCTGTAGGATGGAGAACACACATAGGTCATTTTCATAGGTCAGGAGACAGGACCACAAAGGTCACAGGTTGACAGCTACAACCATACAACCCCCAAGGATATTGCTTAAAGAACTGGGCCCGGAATTGAGGAAGGCAGCACCTGTATAGTAAGTACCTGCTGCTTTTTCCTACTAAGGTGTCATTCCCTCTGATGGTAACAGCAAGCAAAAATAGCCCAACCCTCTTGTCAATTCTTAGTCCATGTGGATCCTAAACTCTTAGAAGGGTCTGTGGCTCAGCCAATCAGTGTTCTCCTGTCTCCTGGCCACTGACTGGTTCAGAGGTGATCACATGGTTTCTGCTAATCCAATCCAATGAGAGCCTGCAGCCTGGAACTTTGGCTGGAAGGACTGGTTCAGGGGTGCTTTTTGCCCCTGGGCTTGCTAGTAGGGTAGAAACTATCCCTGGACTATGAGTAAGAAGAGCCTTCCTAAGAATGAAGCCAAACAGGATACAAAAATTGAGAGATGGCAAGAGACATAATTTTTTAAGAAGGAGCATAGGGAAGGTGATGAGGTTCTGGGAGCAGTTCTGGAGGGAACTGGTGCCCATCTTGTAGGAGCTAAGTTAGGTTTCACAGGACCCATGAGTCCCCATGAGTGTGGAGAACTCTAAGCAAGCCTGGCTCCACCCCCTGCATCTCTCCCAAACATGCTTGTCCATACACACACACACACACATACACACACACACTCACCCTGCTCTCCACGTGACGCTGTCCAGTCATTAGACACAGCAGGAGGTAAGATGTGGCCAGATGAGGCCACCTGTGCTTGGACTGTACAGGCTGCAAATCTGTGAGCCATGAAACCTTTTCCTTAGAGAACTCCATCTCAGGCATTTTGTTATAGGAACACAACATGAAATTCAGCACATGGATTTCAACGAATCTGAACAGCATGCTGTGCCACTCTATCGGAGGTATGAACTGATAAATCCTTCTTCACTTCCTAAGAGCTGAGTTCCAGCCCCTGGCAATGAAGGGAGTTCTTGCTAAGTCAGCTAGGAACAGCAGCACACTTCTCATCCTTAAAGCCATCTTGCCTACTGCAGATACCATCATTCCATAAACTCACTTTTTTTTTGTCAGTTGTGGGCTTGAACTCTGGGCCTGGGTGCTGTCCCTGCGCTCTTCAGCTCAAGGTGAGTGCTCTACCACTTGAGCCATAGCACCACTTCCAGTGGTTTATTGGAGATAAGAGTCTCCTGGACTTTCCTGCCCGAGCTTTGAAGCGTGATCCTCAAATGTGAGCATCCTGAGTAGCTAGGATTACAGGTGAGCCACTGGCGCTTGGCAACTATCTCTTTTTTGTAAATAACTTGTCCCCACACCGGGAAAATGGCCCTCAAAGTCCTGGAGTTCCTGCCACTGCATACCCTGTGGGCGATACCTCTGAGGCGGGGGAAGCAACCCATACAGAGGATGAGGAGCATGAAACTCAACTCAAGTCAGTGCCAACAGACACAGTTTCAATGGCTGTTCTCTTAGCTGGCTGAGAAAATGGGGACAATGCCTCAACTCTCACAACGTGACAAACAGGTCCAAGTTCTACTGCTACACCAGCAGATAAGGAAAACTGAAAAGCAGCAAAGTGAGAGCAGTTAGGAACGACGTCCAGGGACGTGAGTCTGGTATGTGAATCACTTTGTCAGTCCTCAGTGCTGGACCTTCTACTGCAGCAAAGGAGGCCGCAGGGCAGGGCAGGCCAGCCTTCCAGGGTGTGGCTTCACACCAGAGGCTCCGGTGAGATAAAGGCCCCCTGAGGTGCCAGGTTCTAAAACCGATAAGATGAACGCTGTAGAGTCAGTGGCCAGATGCTCATTGGGCCTCTTCATTGTTTATTAATATTTAATTCCACAAGTAAAATATGAACGCATTGCCTTTGTTAAAAATCAAAACACTAGGGCTGGGAAGGTGGCTCAGTGGTAGAATGCTTGCCTTGCATGCATGAGGCCCTGGTTCGATTCCTCAGCACCACATAAGCAGAAAAAGCCAGAAGTGGAGCTATGGCTCAGGTGGTAGAGCGCTAGTCTTGAGCTGAAGAGCTGAGGGATAGCGCCCAGGCCCAGAGTTCAGGCCCCATGACCAACCAAAAAAAAAAAAAAAAATTAAAACACTAAGCCAGGTACCGGTGGCTCACATCTGTAATCCTAGCTACTCAGGAGATGGAGATCTAAGCATTGACATTCAAAGCTAGCTCATTCAGTTAAGTCTGTGAGATTCTCTCATCTCCAATTAACCACCAAAAAGCTGGAAGTAGAGTTGTGCCTAAAGTGATAGAGCACCAGCCTTGAAAGAAAAAGCTCAGGGACAACGCCCAGGCTCTGAGTTCATTCCCGACGACCAACAGACACACAGAAAGAATCAAATGCTAAACTAAAACATACACTTTCCAGCTAGCCAGGCGCTGGTGGCTCACACCTGTAATCCTAGTTACTCAGGAGGCTGAGATCTGAGGATCATAGTTCAAAGCCAGCCCGGGCAGGAAAGACCGTGAGACTCCTATCTCCAATAAACCACCAGAAAACCGGAAGTGGCGCTGTAGCTCAAGTGGTAGAGCGCTTGCCTTGAGCTGAAGAGCTGAGGGACAGCGCCCAGGCCCAGAGTTCAAGCCCCACGACCGACAAAAAAATAAAAAATAAAAAAATAAAACATACACTTTCCAAGACCGAAGCCAGTCCTAGCACACAACTCAGTTCTGTCATAAATGTGGCCATGTGGCCCTGATCTCAGCAGTGACTGCTGTTGAGGCCAAAGCACTGTTTCTCCTTGTAATCCTTTTGGAATTGCTGAATTATTTTTTTAGTCCACTGCTTATCTGCTTATGTCACTGTGAAATCTCCCACAATTAAGGCCCCTTGTTCCCCTTGCACAAGGAGTTGACAGCCCCCAGCCCCATCCTTCCTACACCATATTCCCACCCACTCCAACAAGGAGATGAACCTTTCTGTGGGTTATTTCAGCACCCCACGCTATCTTATTCCCATCCAGGGCTGGCTTGCCCTGCCCCCTTGTTAGCTCTGGCGGATAGGAACCCAGGGCAGAAAACTGGTGGGTGGGTGGACACTGGGATTGGGTATGTCTTCCTCTAGCTCCCACCCTGGTCTGCTACATCATCCAATCATAACAGCTCCTGATTGCAGCTTGGCCCTGCCACCCCCACCCTCCACCAGACAGCACAGAGGACCTTCATGGAGGGTTCAGACTCTCTTACTGGCCCTTGTCCCAGGAAGCTCCAGGGAGCTGCCCATATCTCAAAAAGCCCCCCTTCTTTTCAGTGGCAATTTTCTTACCAGGGCCCTGAGTTTGATCTTTATTATTCCTCTGCCAGTCTTTATACTTAAGACTACATACAAATGTATCACTAAGCAATACATAGTATTATTTTGAATGTGACTCTATTAGAAATGGCGCATTGTACATATCCCTTTGCAACCTTGTTCTCAGTGTTCATGTGCAAATATCCCAGCTACTCTGAAGGCAGAGATGGAGAGGATTGCCTTTTGGGGAAAATCTCAGCAAAAATGTTTGGGAGATCTCATCTCAACAAATAAGCCAAATGTGTTGGTACAAATATGTAATTCTAGCTACACAGGAAGCATAGATAGGTGGACAGTGGTCTGCAGCTGGTCCTAGGCATAAAGTAAAACCCTACCTAAGAAATAACTAAAAGTGAAAAGGGGCTGGGTTGGCTCAAACAGTAGAGCACCTGCCTTGCAAGCACAAGCCCTGAATTCAAATCCCAGCCTTCTGAAATAAATAGATGACAGACAGACAGACAGACGGCGATAGCTCCAGTTTATTCCTTCTACTTGGTACTGATAGCCACTCTGTGATGCTCAGTGAATAGTCCATTTGGAATAGTCTAGCTTTTTTGTTGTTGGTGGTGGTACTGTGTCTGGGCCTATGTGCAGTCCTTCAGCTCTTCAGCTCAAGGCAAGCACTCTACCACTTGAGTCACAGCGCCACTTCTGGTTTTCTGGTGGTTTACTGGAGATAAGAGTCTCACAGACTTTCCTACCTCAGCTGACTTTGAACTGTGAATCTCAGATTTCAGCCTCCTGAGTAGCTAGGATGACAAGTGTGAGCCACCAGCACCCAGCATGTCTAGCTTTTTTTTTTTTTTTGGTCCATTGTGGGGGCTTGAACTCTGGGCTTGGGTGCTGTGCCTGTGTTCTTCAGCTCAAGGCAAGCGCTCTACCACTTGAGCAACAGCGCCACTTCCGGTTTTCTAGTGGTTTATTGGAGCTAGGAGTCTCACAGACTTTCCTACCTGGGCTGGCTTTGAACCATGATCCTCAGATCTCAGCCTCCTGAGTAGCTAGGATTACAGGCATGAGCCACTGGCACCCGGCTTTTTTTTTTTTTTAACCTTTTTTTCTTTTTTTGGTTAGTTGTGGGACCTAGTGCTGTCCCTCAGCTCTTCAGCTCAAGGCTAGTGCTCTACCACTTGAGCCACAGTGTCACTTCCAGCTTTTTCTGCTTATGTGGTGCTGAGGAATCGAACCCAGGGCCTCATGCATGCAAGGCAAGCACTCTACCACTGTGCTACCTTCCTAGCTCTAGCTTTTTATAAACAAGTGTTATAAGATTTATTGTATAGGTCTGTTAGTAAACCTATTTAACGGTGTGAACATACACACATAGAAATGCGGAATGGATAAAACACAAGACATGCTTATGTTAAATCTACGAGTATCTGGTATCCCTTCAGCATCTTACCTCTGAGGGGAGTCACTAACACGTGAGTTTCCAGTGGCGGATTTGGAGAGCTGAGCCTCCTCCCCTGTCTCCTGAGAGCCCACACAGAGCCCCAGGGGGACAGAGGGTAATGACTGCAGGCCCCAGTACGGCTGTGAGCCATCTGGAGAAGGAGTCCTAAGATTCAGAACAGAGGAGTGAGATTTCCAAGTCAATATTTGTTCTAAAAATTGACAGGCAGAGGAGTTCGGCACCAGA